TACCCGGATAAAACCTCGTATTGTTATTGCTATCTATAATAGGTAATAGATTCCTATCTAGACACTCGCGACTCACTTCAGACTGTTCCGGGGCTTCACAGATCCGAAATTCAAAATAACCAAGAGTCTGTACATTGTTTCTCGTTATTTGCACTTCTATAGTATCACCTTGGTTATAAGTAGCAGATATGATCTCTTTTGCGTATATACCACCATGTTCATTTGGTTTGTCACTTCCACAAGGATCACCACATATACCACAACACCCTACTTGTCTTTTCCAGTGTTCCTGCGAATAAAAGTAAAAGTATTATGAGTGGTATCATGTTTAAGCGAATTATACAGATCAAAGGCAATAAAATAATTAACAATTATAATTGAAATAATGCTAAATACAATAAATCAAGGGCCACAAAAAGTGGTTCACAATTAATGCAGAATCTGGTGAGCGTTAGAATGTAAATTGGTATCGATATCAATGTCAAATCGTTTTTTTATCTTTGTTGTAAGTGCATCGAGCACATTTATAGCTATGATTTTCTGCCAATCGGTTTTGATAGGTTCGGAATGGTGCAGATATTAAGAAGCTATGATGTACTCGATTTACGTACTTGCAACCCTCAATTCAGTCCTTTTTTTAAATCCGAACATTGCATTAATTGACATATTTAAGTACAATCGTACAGTTTGCAAAAGTTAGGTTATAAATTTGATCCCGTCAGATTCTGTGACACCATTGTGATTTAAATGAAGCAAAAATTTGACATCCAACGTATTTCCTACTAAGAGATGATGAATTTGTGTCCTACTAGTAACCTTTCTAAACTTTTCGACTATTTTGTATATCATGCACAGGGGCGTTTCTAGAAAATACCTAAGAATGGGAGGGGGACAAAATGTTTCACCGAAGGGAAACCGAAAGGGCCAATACACCTTGAGGCCGGTGGCTGCAAAGGGTTCCAGAAGCCAACGGATTTCTGAGGCCTCAGATGAAATTTGAGCATTTAGAGGGCTTAATTTCCACTTCACAGTATGACCTTTCACAGCAGCTCCCCATCCCCCTTCCACCCTAAGAAAATTTTGGCCCTCCCGGAAAAATTTAGAAAACCTGAATGACTTGTTGTTGAGTCGCTATAGTTAAGCCCCCCCTTTAAAAATTCTGCTCCCCCACCCTGTAACCCTGGGCTAGCTACAGTCTTGAGGCCCGATAGCCTAGCCCTTAAATGAGTCACTCATCATGCAATTATTGCAGACTCGTGTATGATATTGTAAGTATGAAAATGATGTGTTACACCCGACATTTATAGTTGTTTAAGTGATAAATGTTTTTAAAAATCTTGACAAATTAGAATTACCTTGATACAAAAGAAATCCAAAGCTATTTATGTCACAGATATGAATTTAAAACTGTCACGTAGCTATTCCTTACAGCAACGGTCAATATGTAGATTTTTTAACCACATCTGATGATGAAAACCTCAAGCATGCGTGTGACTTTTAAGTTATTGTTCCAATGATATTTTATATGTTATTTGTTAGTCAATTATACGCCTTTTCCTCTATATCTTAATAATATATATTCTATATTACACCAGTAGCTTTGCTAAGACAGAAACAGTCGTACGACGTTCGACTACAATATATGTTTACGTTGGTGGATTACTTAAAAAAGATAAAAGCATTGTTACCTCATATCCACCACAATTCAAGTCACCATCATGAACATTTCGTTCTGCTCCGGGTTCACCTCGTCTCCACAAACTAGATCTTTGTAAAGGCTCCATCATTCGAACTGCGGCAAAAACATCCTTACAAGATACGATAAATAATAATGTTAATTGACAATAATAATTCATAATGTTAACTTGGCACTGATACAATCAGGATGAAATCAATATATCATGGAGATATTTCTAAGTATCTGAATATCGCGACCATTGAGGATCGGTGATTTGACGTCATTCCGATCCGCTTACGATAGTATTCGTTCACATTGTCAGGTATTTGAAACACTGAAATAATGACTTCAATACAAAACATCAACCCATATCCTTCACATATACTTTAAAATTCGTAGTCACATAAACACGAACATGGCGACAACACATTAACTGTCATTACCTATCAAAAATAAGATGGCGACATTTTGACAGTAGGCTATTAAATTAGGGACATTAAATTAAAATTTTAACATGCATATTTAAAACAGGTCTTATTTTATTTTTATATTTTCTTATCCAAATTCAATTGGTCATGAAAAGTGTACTAACACCTATAAACATGAGGTTTAATATAAAGTTTTTATTCGATCTTTCCGGCAGCACAGTGATTGATCGAAAAAATTAAGTTTGATATGAATTATTAAATGATTTACAAATTTTTTTTATATTGAAGAGGTTTATATAATATTTACTCAATAATTTACAATACATGTCATTTTGGAGTAGGTTTACTTTTTAACGTAATGATTTATAACAGATATATTGAATATGTTTCTTACTTCCTTACTAAATATTTTACAATAGATTTCATATTGAATAGGTTTCTCTTTCAATTACTAAATGATTTACAATAAATATCATATTGAATAGGTTTCTATTTTACTTAATAAATAATTTACAATAAATATCATATTGAATAGAATCTAAATGATTTACAATAGATATAATATTGAATAGGTTTCTCTTTTACTTTCTAAATGATTTACAACATCATATTGAATAGGTTCTAATTGATTTACAATAAATATCATATTGAATAGGTTCTAAATGATTTACAATAGATATCATATTGAATAGGTTTCTCTTTTACTTATAAAATTATTTACAATACATATCTTGTTAAATAGATTTCTTTTTCACTTACTAAATGATTTATAATACGTGATATATTGAATAGATTTCTCTTTCACTTTCTAAATGATTTCCAGTACATATCATATTGAATAGTTTCTCTTTTACAATACATATATTGAATAGATTTCTCTTTCACTTACTAAATGATTTACAATAAATATCATATTGAATAGGTTTCTATTTCACTTACTAAATGATTTAGAATAGATATTATATTGAATAGGTTTCTATTTCACTTACTAAATGATTTACAATAAATATCATATTGAATAGGTTTCTATTTCACTTACTAAATGATTTACAATAGATATTATATTGAATAGGTTTCTATTTCACTTACTAAATACTTTAGAATAAATATCATATTGAATAGGTTTCTATTTCACTTACTAAATGATTTACAATAAATATCATATTGAATAGGTTTCTATTTCACTTACTAAATGATTTACAATAAATATCATATTGAATAGGTTTCTATTTCACTTAATAAATGATTTACAATAAATATCATATTGAATAGGTTTCTCTTTCACTTTCTAAATGATTTACAATAGATATCATATTGAATAGGTTTCTATTTCATTTACTAAATGATTTGCAATAGATATATTAGATAAGTTTCTCTTTCACTTACTAAGTGA